TAGTCCCCCAGTTCGGTGGATATATATATATATACCTTCAGAACAAGGCAATATATTAATTTATATCTTACACCTACTTTCTTACGGAATCCACCTTTAGCGCTGTGTTATCACTTGCACATCATATTTTACCAATTCATAGCAGCTTTAGGATTAGTATTTTAACTTTTTAGCCTTATCTTTCCAAGAGCGCAGATTATTTGATCTAAATAGGACCTATGACGCCTATTGTGGGAAATCCGGAGTTTGCCCCAGGTGGGACCTTATATGGTTTCTTATCATGGCGGGCCCGGAAACCATCTCCTGTATTACAGGCAGTGAATGCTGTTGGGTTCCGCCCACTGACGGGGCTGCTTCCGGATTGGTCACATAGACCGTGTAGGTGGTTTTCCTGTTTACAACTTGAGTACTTTTATCTTCATATCGGGTCCCAAAGATTAGTCCATAGGAACCTTTGAAGAACTGGGTATGAACAGCTCTGATGGTAGGCGCCTCACATCAAAACCTTTTCATCTTCTATTGCCCCGAGCATTTCCATATTTGCCCTTCTATGTTAGGGATTGGGGGAGAGAATTGGGCCGCCCCTTTCCCAGATTCAGACCGGGAGAAGTCTTTTATAATGATGTGTAAGACTCGTCTAGGGAGCCGGGATCAGGAGAGGAATGACAGGGTTTACACCGGGTGGTAGAGGTCTCCATATACCCCGAGCGGAATATTGTCCTCTGTATGGGGTCAATGTTGGAGATGTGGGAGGGTGGAGGGGACCATGCTACTTATCTGCTGGTCCTGCCCACACCTTACATTATATGAGCAATCGAGTGAGCGGGCAATTACCGGGAGTGGACTGGCCGGGGACCCCAGAGGCGGCCTTACTGTCTATCTTCCCAGGCTCGCATCAATGGCATCAAAAGGGCCTGTTACGGTTATTAATGGCGGCGGGCAGAGCAGTGACTCCTAGACATTGGAGGTCAGTACATGTCCCACATCTGACAGAGTGGATTCCAGAGGTCAACTATATTATGAGAATGGAAGAATTGACATCTATATATACGATCGATACACATACTCCATCCAGCTATTCCATATGGACAGAAAGTCTGCTCGCTTCACTAATCACTAATGGGAGGTTCAGCTGGGAAGCCCCTCCCCTTTATTTCTCTTTTGTAGTGTATTTGTGTGTGTGTGTGAATGAGCGGGAACATCCTGAATAGTACCTAGGGTAATTATGGAGCTAAAGATGGATTGAGCCGTCGACTGTTAGGGCCACAAGACAAGTATTTGGAGGATTTGTACTTATATACATGGGGGGGGGGGGGGGGTTTCCGTAAAAATTGTCC